GGGGGCGCATTGTGCCCTTTCCATTTGCTCTGATAAAGAAATGATATTAATTTCGCTGTAGAGAAATTGCCGAACAGTAGCTGCCTTGGACTGGAGTCTGTTGTGGTAAGGCCAACATGAGTTACACAGTATCATAAAATTGCTGTTACATATAATTGTAGAGATGCTGTGAAACAGCATGCTTCCATATGAGTCTTATTTCAGGCTTACATCTGCACACTAACTGCAATGGTAAGTAACTCTTGTATTGCTTATGTTATTCAGGCTCTCATCTGGATGATCCCAGATGTTTTCAATGAAGTTCCACTCACTAGCTGAGAATGAAGACATAGGGTTACAATCATCTGTTAATACTACACAGGTAGCCTTGCTTAATTAGGGAAAGAGTATTACCAATGGCAGTAATATCGGCATGTTTTCTGTACTGATGAGACAAACTGGTACTGTTGTCCTGGCGGCAGATATGAAGGCAAATCCTTTGTCTAGACAAGGCCTTAGTGCATTCCATCTTGGCTATGTGCCAAATAGAGATGGGCAGACATCAGCTCCATTATTTGAAATATAGACACAAATCAGAAACGAGACTTACTGTTATGAATGAAGAACAATAAGATAGGAACCAACAGAAAGAAATGTTGTGTGGTAAGGTGTGGGAATATAGTTAGTGTAGAAGTTCTTGCTGTTTTTGTAATTTAGAAAACCTGGGTTCATAACACGGTGTGAAGAGAGACGATAAAACAAGCTGTAAAAACACTTGGTTGAAATCATCAGAGAGGCAAAAATGTTGCTCCAAAATTCAATTGGGCTTTCCACCCTTTTTATTCAAGCTCTCACCAGCCTTGAAAACACAAGATAAATTATATGGAAAAGAGAAAATAAGTGAAATCATTTCATCAGGGATTCCTCATTGCTGATGATAGGAAAGGTTAAAAATGACACAGTTTATTTCTAGATATGTATAATCTAAAACACACATGCTGTTGTAATGAGATGGGCGTGTGTTAATGTAGAATAGGTGTAAGGAAAATAAGGGAAATAAATATAGGTAATGATCCTGTTCAGTTCCAGTGAATCTTATGTTTAGTGACTAGCAGGCCATATCTGCTCAGAGATAAGTCATACTGAGCACCACTGAGTTCAGTCCTAGTACAGTAATTGTGTATTGGATTTCAGTTAATAGCATTTAAAGTAGGTTTTAATAAGTGACTTAGTAAGCAGGAAAGCAGGTGCCCATTCAGAAAAGTTCTGTTTTGTCCATCTTGACTTAAAATGGAACATATTATGCTGGTTCTTCCCCAACCCCATTTTGCCCTGTGGTATTTAGTGGCACATAGCAAATTTCAACTAATCCAAAATGGATGCACTACTTTTGTTTAGAAGAAAAAAAATTAAGGAAAGTGTAGAGTGTGTAGAAATGAAAACAAGGAGTAATGAATTGGGAATTGTGGAGATGAATGTTTAATGTAGTTGTTGTATTGTAGTTAAATCTAATTTCCTGTGCTTTACGGTTTTATCAATACCATCTTCAGAAGGGATAAGTACATCTATTAACTTGGCAAAATGCTTTCCCTTGGCTGATTACTTTAATGCTGTGTTGTACCGAAGTAATGTTGGTTTTAATGGCTGCATTTTCAGACTTTCTTTCAGGAGAGGAATGAAGTTGTTAGAAGTGTGCTTTTAATTTTCTCATTAATTGAAAATTTTAATTAGCCAGTCCATTTTGATTAATGTACAGTATATTTTGACGATCTGGCAAAGAATGGAATAGTTTATGGAATGGAGTGTGTGCTGAACATAGTACAAGTGCATTTCAGCACTACCATGGATTTTACCCTGTTTCCCCTAAAATAAGACGTAACCTCAAAATAAGCCCTAATATAATTTTTCAGGATGCTCGTAATATAAGCCGTCCCCCCAGAATAAGCCCCAGTTAAGTGAAACCCCACCCTCCACCGTTGTGCAGCAACCAGAAGATGACATTACTGTATCTGAATAAATGTAGATAGTTGTACATGAAAAAAATAAAACATCCCATTAAAATAAGCCCTAATGCGTTTTTTGGAGCAAAAATTAATATAAGACCCTGTCTTCTTTTCAGGGAAACACAGTAATAATTATTATATCTTGTCCAGTCAATTCCAACTTATTGGGGCCTTTCCAGAGTTCTCTAGGTATAGAATACACAGAAATGATTTACCATTTCCTTCTTTGGGGGGGGCAGGACTGTGTTAAATTAAATGGAAATAAGAATACAGTAATGTACAGATAATAAAAACTGGAAATTTTGCTTTTGAAGCATTCGACACACTTCCAAGTCTGAGATAGAGAATTTTAGGTGGTTGTTTTCAAATATATATATAATTTCCATACTATTTTAAAGCTATTTTTAGCCTTATATGTGAAAAGCAGTTTGAAGTTTTATTTTGTGATGTTAAGCAGCTGTCTGACTGCTTTTTGACATTTGGTGTCATTTGTAAGATTGGCATTAATTAAATATGCCACTGTATATGTGTTTACAATGTGATTTCACAAGTTACCCTCCAAATGCTCCTCTGAGAGCATGTAAGGCTGTTCCTTCATGAATTTCAGTCTCTTTGTTTTTGTTTTTGAACTATACAAAAAAGTCCTTAAAACCTTTAAAACTCAGATCGTTAAATCCTTAAAATTACCAAAAGATCTATCATTTTAAATTCTAGGTAACTATTAACTCTTTGGGATCTTGCTCATTATGCTATTAACCACTATAACTTTCTTTTAATTTGCTTTAATTAAATATTAATTTGCTTTAATTAAAGATTTAATTCCACAACCTCAGATGTTGCATCAAGCAGTAAGATTCACATTGTGTCCTTATTAAGCAGCATCAAATCTTGCAGGATATGAAGCAGCTTTCAGTCATGGAATTCAGAACAAGACATTTTTATAAATGGGATTATACGAGTGGTTCCCAACCGTTTTTCACTTGTGTACCCCTTAGCAGCTCATTTCCATAAATTGTACCATTTGTGTTAGAGGTTGGGGGTAGGGGGGCTCTCCAAACTCTGGTAGGATGCACAAGTGTGGGAGTAAAGGTATAAAATCCAAAGTGACTTCTGTTCTATACAAAATGCTGTTGATACACAAGGAGAAGACAACACAAGAACAGATGTTGCCTTGGAGCAAAAGCCAGTTGGCTGGGTTCTCATGCAGTGGGCACTGGGCAGGGAGAGAAAGAAGAAACTTTCTCATTGTTCAGAATATAAATAAGCAACTTACATTATTGATGTATGTTTTTTCCACATACCTCTAAATGTTTGGTTTTACCTCTGGTGGTACACATACCGCAGGTTGGGAATCAGGAATCACTGCACTGCACTGTTCATAGTAGTGTACTCTAATGGACAGGTGAACAACAATTGTTGTGTTGGAGTTAGTACGATATAAGGAGGTCCCTGGGATTAGGAGGGGAGCGGTAATGATTTTCTGAGTAAAATAGCTGATGATTTAATTAAAGAGCATGTTGTGATGTTTCTGGAGATAGAAACCATAGAACCAGTGGAGACAAGACATTCCTAATATCTGAACAATGGGTTAAAGAGTTGGGAGTTGGGTCACATCCTGTCTTCCTGTTCTAGCTTAAGTTCTCCTTTCCTCTCCCATCATGATTACATGTTATATTCATACTAACATTAAACCATAGATACTAGCAACTGGGATTTAAAACAGAGTCCTTTAAAGCTGTGCTTAGGAGTGAATACAGATGGCAGCAAAGTGGCAGTTAATGTTGTTTCACATAAAACTGATGTGTAATACAGGACAGTATAATTATGGATGGGACATTTTTGCTGTTTATCTCTTGAACTTGTAGAAGAGATGTAGTTTTTGTACAGTACTTTTTTGTTTTTGTTTTACTGTTTCATTTTTTTCTCCTTTTCTCTTACCTATGTTGTCTATGGAGATCTGACTTGTATATGAGTGGGCATGCTGGGAGAAATGCCTACAGTAATTAATTACAAAATATTTATCAGATAGGAGGCCTGGATGATACTAGCAGTTAGCTTTAGTAGGGGCTGTCTCATACCTGTCACCCTTAAATGGCTTTCACAATGACCACATACAACAATTGTAGAGCAAAGATGAAAATAGGTTTAGTACTGCAAAGATTTTCTAGTGTTCATATGAACTAATAAAAATGCCATTTCTGGATTCTTGACAGTATAAAAGGCTATTTTCATAGACCTGTCGAACTGAATAGTTTAATGAAAGACTGTGTGTTGATGTTGTTAGAGTCATTTGGGAGCTGTTCCAGCGTCAGCAGTTTATGCAACCCTGTGACAGTTGAATAATCCAGAGGATCATCCAGTGAATAGAAAGTAGGCATGCGGGTTAAATCACTTCATGATATGGTTTCCTCATAGCATTTCTATTCTAGGACAATATTTTTTATTGAATGTTAATTAAAATAGTTTTGATTTGTGATAATAGGACCCTCTCAGTAACTGCTGGAGATCGTGTCTGGTAGATCGTGTATATTGGGGAAGGGTGTGTGTGTGTAATGCTGTAGTAGGAAACGGAGACTGTTTGGCCAGTATTTTATAGAAGTTGGAAGCAAAAATAGATTTATGCTGTATCTCAAATATATGTTAAGAGGATTGGGGAAGGTTATTATACTGTATGGGATATCCATCCATTCTTCCTATGAGATCTTCCTATATCTCGTGCATTAATCATATGAACACGTGCACTGACAGTGTCAGGAACATGCAATCATATACAAAGTCCACACATTGTAGACCCATTGGTGCAGGCTTCCCTGCTACAGGTATTTATATCCAATGCATGGATGTTGGGGTGAAGTTAATATCCATGATAATCAGGAGAGGTCAGTAGCATCCCTCTAATTCCACAGGGTAAACTTCACATTTTGCTTTTTGCTTTCTTTCTAAATAAAGGGTGCTATGATTGGTTTTGTGTATGTTGTAGTTAAACAATATTTTCAATTCCTGCTCTTTATTTTCTAGGTGCTAACATCATGCCGGGCCTTTCTGTTAACTTCCCGTATTCCTACCAAGGTAAAACTAATCTTCATTCCTGTTCTATTTTCCCAACATTATTATAGCACTTCAGATTAATTTATTGGTCATGGTAATGAATTATGGAGGTTGAGGAGTATCTGAGAATAGTTTAATGGTATACATTTTATAAACAGTGCTTTACATTTACTTTTTTGTCAGAGGGATTTTTCTTCCTGTTTGGGGATCTCTTAAATGCTGCAGTTGGAACCAGTTTATATAATCCCTATTCCCTGGGATGGGGAGCAATTTGCTTCTTTGCATGGATTTACCTGAGGATACCGTCAAGTGCCCAACAGCCAATTTTAGCATTCCATCAATCTGTTTGAATCATTTGCATTGTAATAGTAAATTCTGAAATGCTAGCACTCATTAGCAGAGTGATGACAACCATGTCTCCAAGGAGGATGTAAAAAATTCAGGCAGCTATGTTGATCCATATCAACAAGCCAGTACCTCTCAACCAGTTGCAGATTGTAATGGATTTTAAATGTTCATTCTACATGAAGGCATACTAAAATACATTAAATTACAACAGGGATAGCGTATAACAATAGATTGTTTTGAAGAATATTTGGAAGGTGGGAATATCCATCCTTTTGCCCCAGGCTAAAAAAGAGTGCACCCAACTCAGAACAGGGGAGCCTGTGGGGGTGGCAAATGACATCATCATTTCTACTAATCAAATAAGTACTTTGTACTTTGACAGTACAAACACCTGGCCTCACTATAAAACAGGTTACATGGTGAAGGAGTATTTGGACATCTACTTCAACCTATTTTAAACATAGATAAGTGCAAAGACATCTACTTGAACCTATTTTAAACATAGATAAGTGCAAAACACACACACACCCCACACACAATGCTTATTTTAACATGAAAATATAGGTGGAGATCCATGTCCACTGGATGAGACATGTGTTGGCTTGCCACTTGAACAAGAGGAGTAATTCACCTGTCACCAATTTAAGTAATTTTTTATTCTATGAAAATTTCAGGCAGGTCTGGAACAAAAGGCTTATTTTTTCTTTTGTCATAATGGACAACTTTGAGAGTTTTTGTTGTCGGATGACGAACCTACCCAAAGGATATTATTGAGTAACCATCCTCACTGGATTTTGGGGCTAGATTATTCTACAGAATTTAAGGGAGCCGATTGTGAAATGGGATATTTATTATATTTAATTTATGATATTTATGATTTAGGATATTTATGAGTTCATTCAGTTCATTTTATGTGGGACTACAGAGTGCTCATCTGGAGTCTTGGAGGTCCTGCTGCATGCTTCCAAACTCAATACCACATCAGGGCTGCTACCACTCGTAGCACAATAAGGGAGATTCATGGAAACCCGGCATAGAATTCATTACTGATGTCCTTCTCAATAACGTGATTCATCTCTCCAAGCGCCAGTTCATTTCTGGGCTCTAGATTTTTTCAGAATTCATTAGGAATCTTAGTTGTATATGAAGCTCAAAAACAACAATGCTTTGTAGTTTACCGTATCCACATTTTAAAATCTCAATACATTAGTATCTTCTGTTGTTGTTGTTTTCCTGGAGGCTGCAAATGCATCTTGTGATTTGTCTAACACCATGTTTCACAGAGTAATTCAATTCTCAGTAGCAACTGGAAATGATTGTCTTGGCAGAAGAAAGTCTGCTTTTGCTATTTGTAGATGACCAATATGTATCTGGAGATAATTGTGCGCCTGACATGGACTCAAGCTAACATAATGAGCAGAGTTCCTCATGTTCACTTCTTTGTGGGGGGAAAGTTTAAGAACATTTACAAAAATAAAAACAGGAGGGAAACAAGGATTTATGATCAGAGTGTTAAAAAATCTATTTGGCACTTGAAAAATTGTATCAACTCTCATTTTATTCCATCTGAAGAAAGGCGAAGAAAAGGAAAGGGGCTGGGGAATAAATGAACCACACAGGAAAACATGTTTATCATGAGCTTGTTCTTAACCTCCCTGTAAGTAATCCATTATGCAAAATGGGACCTATAGAATAAGTTGTCTTGAAGATACTTCAGAAGCCTGCTTGACTAGCACATAGAATAGGCCAGCTATTTTGCTACTTCAGATATGTGTCAGATCACTTTCCAGAATCTACTTGTTCCATGAAGTCTTTGACATAGGAGTTTACGTCACATAGCCTTTGTAACTAAGGCCAAAAGCAGAGATAGCTCATAATTAGAAATAAAAGCACATTAATCTTTGAGAAACTGAGGTGGTCTTTCCAGGTATGTGAAATTCCAGAGGAATTCCGTGCTTCAGTCCTGAAGACCAGTCACCAAACACAACAAGCTTGTTTGCATAATCCTGAAGGAAAGAAAAGCTTGTGCTGTTACATTCAAGATGTTTCCATTAGTTAAGAATTTCTCTCTCTTGCAGCCATGGGCTATCTCTACATTCTGTTTCTGGCCTAAGCCTCTCTATGTTGAATTGAAATGGACCTTCTTTCCTAGTTACCTCATGCCTCCATCTCTCTCCTCTTCTCATTCCCTCCTGTGAATCTTTGAGAGTTGTAAGGTCGTCAAGGCAGGAGAGTGTACGTACTAATAAATAAATTAATGATTAAGAAATAATTACTCAATGTTGTTTTTCTGTTTAATGGCTTAATGTTTGCTTAATATGTATTCTTTGTTGAATTACAGCTGGAACTAACTTTCAGCTACTTGGAAATCCAAGGGATCACCTGCAATAAACCAGGCCAGGTGAATATTTTAGTTATAAAAGGATTTAATACTGCTGCAATTCTATTTGAGACATATTCTATATACTCTGGGAGAAAGGTGGGATATATTCCTTAGAAATAAAAATAAATAAATAGCTCCCCACTGATATTCAATCCTCATTTAGATGAAACAAGTGAGAGATATGGAAGAATTATAATACCAATAGAATTTGAATTGTATTGACTGTGCCTTTTTATGTACTAGCAGGGTAAGATGCTAAACTGGGCAGAGAAAGAGGATTCACACAGATTTTTAAAATTAGATCTAGTTATAACTTTGGAACAGATACAAATCTATTGATTTATCATCTTCTTGTGTAGAAAGGAATGCTTCAAAAGATGAATTCAAAACTAATCCCTGTGTAATTTTACTCATTCTTGGATCAGTAAGATAGGAATGCTGCTGCTAGTGAATAGTGAAAATCTTTAAGATCATTGGAGAGGAAGCAGGAATCTGGTCTGCTCTTTGCAGAGTTTTGTGCAGAAAAGTCTTTGTCCTTTTGTACTCACTCCCACATATACTTGTCTTGAAAGCTTTACTCTCAAGGAAAAATATTGTTCAGCTGTGGCACCCAAATATATTTGGCCATTTAGCTCATGCTTTAGGATCCCACATGTTATTTCTCGCGTGTGTACTTTTATTTCCTCTCTGTCCTCCTGCTTCATGGCAGACCCTAGTGTGTCATTCAACCAAGCTGGGCTGATTGAGTTTTTGAAAACTGCATTTGCAGATTCTGCTTTATGTTATGGTTTCCAGTTGTAGTTTACCAACATCATATGGTTTTTCTCAGTTCAGGTATAGCTAGGTTTTTCCAAAGCGGGACATCAGAGGGAAAATACAAAGGAAGCAATGAATGGTTCAGCATCCAAATAGCATTTTGGGTAGTGAGATAGGATTGGAGAATAGGATTAATTAGCGAAGAAAACAGACCCACGTGTTTTGGAACCAGAAGGTTCATTGAGAACATAGTCTTATACTGGGTGAGTACTAGCTCAGTTCTGACAACCATGACTGTCAACAACTCTTTAAGTTTTTAAACAAGAGTTCTTCCCAAGACACCAGAGGTTGAATTGGAAGCCTTTTGCATGCAAAAATAAAAAATGTAATGTACCTCTGGGTTATTGCTTCTCCCCTTTCTGTTGACAATGGAGTTGATGCAGGCACTCTAATGTCAACAGAAAGGGGAGAAGCAATAACCCTGAGGATTCCTAGCATCTCCTCCCATTACCTGTTCATCCATCTCCACAAGTGGGGAAATGTTACCAGCGATGCTCTCTACATATTTTGCTCTCCTAAGAAAGCAGATATATGCAGTTACAGGTTGCTGCCCCTTCCACCTCCCCATCTTCAGAGATGTTTGTTAATTTTTAAAGAGAAGCCTGTGAGATAGCAATGTTGGACTGATGTTTCCTCTTGCAGGGTTGGTAGGCTAGATAATAAGGTGGTAATAACTATGACCTGAATATTTATATGATCCAGCAAGAACAAGTTACAGATATCTACTACAGTATTGTAATTAATTATTTCCTGAGTTACTACATACAAGTTACTTGTAGTAACTGAAAAGAGTGAGGTTATTTCTTGTTATGTTGCAGTTACAAGGTTATATAGCTCAGTGGTCCCCAACCTTGGCCTCCAGATGTTCTTGGACTTCAACTCCCAGAAATCTTGGCCAGCAGAGGTGGTGGTGAAGGCTTCTGGGAGTTGTAGTCCAAGAACATCTGGAGGCCCAAGGTTGGGGACCACTGATATAGCTACATGCAAGTTGTAGCTATATAAATTTATAATTGTAACATAACAAGAAATAACTTCACTCTTTTTGTGATGCAACTAACTTTTAACATTATTTTTATTGTTTTGGGATGTGACCTCAATAGTGAAGGGGGAGGAACATGGCTGAGTTGCTGGCTTATGTGGTGCCTCCTACTGTTGAATGAAAGACATGTTAAAACATTTTAAACAAGTATTATTTTGAAAGTAAGAGTTTTTTAAAAGAAACCAAATAATAATCTTTTTAGTTACTGTACTTTTGTGAAGTGTGAAGTTGAAAAGTTACTTTGAAGATTGTAACTGTGGAAATAATGGGAAAAAAAACCACAGAGGCACACCAAAATGTAACAAACTCTAAATCAGAGAATTGGGGTAAAGTTTAGTTTACACACTAGGTAAGTCACTTGCAGCCAAAGTAAAAGTATTACCTAGTGCTTGGAGGAACATGCTGTCCTCAGTTTGCAGTCCTGTCTATTTGAGGGGGCGGACTTGAAGCTATAACTAATGGTAACTACTACTGTACAAGCTCCACTCAATACCAACAATTATATTGATACAATACTATTTAGGCATGCATAAATAACAAGATTTGGGGCTTGCCAAGCAAATACAATTTATGCTGTCATAGGAAAAAATATTATTTAGGTTGTTGTTCAGGATCCTTTTACTGCATATTTACTAATTCTTAGTACAGTACTTAGTGATGGCTGAGGGGCTTTACACCGAGAGAGGTCCGGAAGGAAAGAACAAGAAACCCGGCCTTCTCAGCAGTGGCCCCTCAGTTGTGGAATACTTTACCAATGGAAATCCGCCTGGCTCCCTCGCTGGGTGTTTTTAAAAGCCATTTAAAAACTTGACTCTTTAGACAGGCTTTCCCTCCAGTCAATTAATTGATCTCTGCTTTTCAATTATGCCATCTTGCTAATGTATATATGTATCAGTTAGTAGGGTTTTTATAATGTATTATTATGTATGTTATTTTATTATATTTTATCACCTATGTAAGCTGCCCCGAGTAGACTTTGTCTAGAGGGGCAGGGTATAAATCCAAATAAAGTAAAAAAGTAAAAGTACTAAAGTGATATTAGCTGAAAATCTCTTTTATAAAAGTTTTAAAATATGTTGTCTAAATTTTCCTAACTTTGTTATGCAGTTGATTGTAGAAACTGAAAAATGCAACATTTCTATGAAGTTGACTTCATCTGAAGATGTACATGAAGTGTTGGCACATATTGGAACGTGCCTTAGGAGGATATTCCCTGGTGTTTCTCCAGTGTAGGTACTCACTGGGAAAATCGTGGCATGTTTGATACCAAATTATCTGGTCTCCCTCTCTTACCTCTGCTGCTTTTGTGTGTGTGTGAGTGTGATATTCATTTGTGTGTGTCTAAGTGTGGAATACTGTGATGGTCTTTACCACCCATCTATATTCCTTTTGAGAAGCATATTTGAATTGTGTTTATCAAGTTCAGGGGCATGGAATGGCTTTCAGTGCATGGTGCATTGGGAGATCTATTGCATCCAGCAATAGATCTTCTGGCACAGAACCGACTGAGGACTTCTGGGATCCAAAAAATTAACATTTCCAAGTTGTGTGTTGTCATAGCCAAGGGGTCTGAAGTCACCATTTTTGGTTTGCAGGCCCTGAGCAGGGCTGAAATGACAGGACCTTTAGGAAGTTAATAATCTGTAAAATCACCGTAAGTCAGAAGCAACTTGATGCCAGATAACAACAGAGAACTAACCTAGTTAGTTCGGGGGAATCCAATAGAAGATATGGTTTGAAATAGGTTTCTGATTTTGATTTGGGTGTCATAGCAAACCATGGTTAGTTAGTTTGGGGGAATCCAATAGAAGATACGGTTTGAAATAGGTTTCTGATTTGGGTGTCATAGCAAACCATGGTTGTTGCGTACCAGAAAGTGGAAGGTAGGATCATTCAGTATGAAAGGAAAATTGTTCACAACCCCACACTATGTTCTTGGCTATCAAATTATAGTATGGCCATGTTATCTTAATTGGACAGATATGTAGAGCTGCATTAGCAATTTTCATGGCTCAAACTATGCTTCTCTTGAGGCAGAAAAAAGTGATTGTTCTGTGGTGTTTGAATTTAACTATTTGGAAAAGTCTTTCGCCCTTATACTTTTCCCATTGTCTTTCACTGTTGCATAATGTTGTTGCCACTGGTGTTTGTGGGGTGCCTCGGCAATAGCTCCATTGGTTCCAGGTTTCTAGTATAATCAGTAACTATCTTTATTGGAGCAAATGTATGGTTACAGTGTTGGGGTCTCTAGGTCCTTCTTTGGAGTTCCTTGGGGGTTGAATTATCTGCACTAAACCCCTAGGTAATGTTATTTCAAGAGGGCCCCTAGTTAACCTCACTGTGGCCCCCAGCAGTCCCAGCATGGAGAAATGGAAGGGGATGATGTGTCTGGGTTCTGGCTGCAGTCCCTTCAAGGTTGGTCAGTACCATCACATTATAGGTACCCAGGCAGCCTTTGCTGCTGCTCCTGGAGCTGCCTCTGCCACTTGCAGAAGCGTTGGCACTTGCGACGTGACTGGTAGAACTGCATCAAGGTGGTTGCAGCTGCTGTGGGCAACTGGCAAGGATGCCGAGGTGCTCTTGGTACCAGTGGTCTCTGAGGCAACCTGCACAGGGACCCTTCTTCTACGGTCCCTTTCTCAGCCAACTAGAATGGGTTTGGGGGTTTCTTGCCAGCTGTGTACCACTTCCACAGAAGCACAAAATGGGGGGGGGGTTTCCTAAGCTTCCACTCAGGTTTCCTTCTGGGCCAAGGTTTCTGCACCTTCTTCTGCCTCTCCTGAAGCTCCATCCCTCCTCCTTTATTCCCTCCACCACTTCCTCTGTCATCCTTTGCAGGTGCTTCCTTTCCACCCTTCCCGCTGCCTTCCAGGGACCCGAGAGCCAGTGGCTCTCCCAAGGCTGCAAGCCCAGGGCAGACAGTTTGCTTGGGACACTGGCGGCGACCTTCTTACAGTCATTCGCCTCATTTTGTTTCTCATATTGGGCTATTTTGGTTCTGATTCCTCCTTCTGTTCATGTTTCTTAGACTTTTCATTGTTTATCCCTGAAACCATGACAAGATTTCTGTTTTTGGTTTCTAGGTGTATTAAGAATACACCAAAAATGCATGCTTTTGGCATTTAATCCTGAGGCTAGGGAGCTGGCTTGCATGACATTTTATCATATAATTATGTATAGCTAAGTATTAAACAGCTGGCTGGATAGTTTAGTGAGCCTGAGCACCTGACTGCAGTGCCAAGGGTTGGGAGTTCAGTTCCCCACTGTGCATTTAAAAAAGAGCCAGCTGTGTGGCCTTGGGCAAGCTGCTTAGTTCCAGAGTGCTTCAGAAGGAGGAAACGGTAAACTACTTCTGTGTACTATTGTATGTACCTAGAAAACCCTACAAAGCCATCGCCATTAACCAGAATTGCCTTCATGGCATTTAATTAATGAATTAGGAAACAGTAAGTTACGCTTCAGCATGTGATCAAATTTAAATGTATGTTTTCCTCTTGAATCCAGGAGGATAATGAAAAAAGTAATTATGGAACCCCCAGAAAGGCTGGCTAATCTCCAGGCCCTGTGGGACGGCCAAACGGTGGCAGAATTAGGACCATGTGGTGAGTGTGTATGCATGTTCAGATTGTAATTTGTGGAAGAGCCTGTATTGGAACCTTCATTCTGTTTTTAGTAGAGGTTTGGCTTTTTTTGTGTGTGAAGGTGTAATTAACTCTAAGGTATAGTTAGAATGGAAAGGCCATTTTTACTGGTGTGGGAAGATGCTATTTTTATGCTGCACCGTAGCCTGCTGTCTATAGAACAGGCAAATATAATTTAGGCTCAGTTGGTTTCGTATTGTGCCTGGAGTGCCATATATGTGTTCAGAAGAGATGAAAATAAACTGTATCTCTACGATAAATGCACTTATTTTTTGTAAATGGTTTGTATTGCTTTTTTATTTGTAGGAGGTTTTTCTCAAATGTATGCATGTGTTTGTGACTGGCTTGGGTTTCCGTATAGAGAAGAAGTTCAGTGGGTGAGTACAGAGTTGCATTGGTGTCATGTATCTTCAGCAAGCTATGCAAAGAAAGAGGAGGGGGTGAGGAACCAAATAAAACCCCAGGCTAAAACCAAAATCTCCATTTTACCATTCTCAGAATTAGTGTTACAAAATGAAGCCACTCTCATTGTGGTTTTTTTTTTTGACCAGGACGTTGATACCATTTATCTAACTCAAGATACCAGGGAATTGAATTTACAAGACTTTAGCCATCTTGACCACAGGTAAGCACAAATTATTCTAGATCTGAAGTATAATATAGAAACACAGCTAACTTGCAGACTCTTCTTTCTCTACTCGTATTTGTTGCTGTTTTCCTACTCACTTATTATTTTGTGCACCGATTCATTTTTCTTTTTTTTTCAAATGTAAAAAAATGCATCTAACTTGTGATGCTGCTGTGAGAGTACTGGCATACCAGCATAATCTTTTATTCTGCAGTGTTGTTCTTTTGTAATTACTGATTTACAGCCATCCTGAATACATATTTGCCTGCAGTTATAGAGAGCAATCACACCCTGACGCACACATATGTATTTTTGGGAAGGAATATTAGGGAAAGAAAATGTTCCTTCTGATGGTAACACTTCATACTCATTGAAAGGCTAGTCAGCTGCAGCTCTTCAGTTTTTCAACCACAGCTCCTGTAATTCCTCAGCATTGGCTATGCCGGCTAGAGCTGGTGGGGATTGCAATTCAACCATTTTGGAGGACCATTCACACCCTCACCCACAATTTATGGGATACCAGTTGGAGAAGAGATTTTTTTTCTCTCTCTTTCAGCAGAGTTTGTGGTAGGGGATTTTTCTCTCTCTCTCTCTTTCAGCAGAGTTTGTGGTAGGCAGTTGTCAGAAACAGGAGCTAAGGGCTCCCATGGGTGAGTAGAACAGCTGCAGAAACCAGTTTAGTTCCTGGCCATATGTATGAATTGTGGTTTAGTCAGTTCTCTTTGTTAGAACAGAATGAATCCTATAGTAACTTGCTCTACTGGTAGAAAAGAATGAAATAGAAATTAGATATTGAGATGTATGTGCTAGAAGGTAATTAAAAATCACACAGCATTGCATTTCAAATACTGGCAGAAAATATTCACTTTTTCTAAGTCCAGGAGCCAGTGGAATAATAAAGCCATATTAGTTTGAAACCCCTGGACAAAACTACTTCTTGTTTCTCGATCTTGGGAGAGGGTTTTTACAGAGAGACTTGTTAGTGAAACTGAAGTGGCTTACAGAAATATTACAACAGAGTTTCAGCATACCACTTCAGAGGACAAACTGATTATTTTAAGGGCTGTATTGACTACAGGGCTGTATTATTTTAAGGGCTGTATTGACTACAGAGAAGTTAATGTCATCAGGTTGTGGTTGTTGTGGGTTTTTCATGCTCTTTGGCTGTGTTCTGAAGGTTGTTCTTCCTAAAGTTTTGCCAGTCTCTGTGACAGCACCAGTCGGAGGTCAGTTTTGCGTATGAACATGACATCTAAGAACGGGAGTTGGCCCTCTATTTCTACATGGAGCATTTCGAAAAACTTGCCCTGGCTTTGGCACCCCTCACATGCACAGTCTGGTTCCAATATGTGGATGACACCTTCGCAGTTTGGAACCATGGTGAAGAAAAATTGGAAGAATTTCTAAACCATCTCAAAAGCATCCACCCAAATATACAATTCACTATGAAAAAAGAAATAGAGGGCCAACTCCCGTTCTTAGATGTCATGTTCAGACGCAAAACTGACCTCCGACTGGTGCTGTCACAGAGACTGGCAAAACTTTAGGAAGAACAACCTTCAGAACACGGCCAAAGAGCCTGAAAAACCCACAACAACCACAACCTGATGACATTAACTTCTCTGTAGTCAATACAGCCCTTAAAATAATACAGCCCTGTAGTCAATACAGCCCTTAAAATAATCAGTTTGTCCTCTGAAGTGGTATGCTGAAACTCTGTTGTAATATTTCTGTAAGCCACTTCAGTTTCACTAACAAGTCTCTCTGTAAAAACCCTCTCCCAAGATCGAGAAACAAGAAGTAGTTTTGTCCAGGGGTTTCAAACTAATATGGCTTTATTATTCCACTGGCTCCTGGACTTAGAAAAAGTGAATATTTTCTGCCAGTATTTGAAATGCAATGCTGTGTGATTTTTAATTACCTTCTAGCACATACATCTCAATATCTAATTTCTATTTCATTCTTTTCTACCAGTAGAGCAAGTTACTATAGGATTCATTCTGTTCTAACAAAGAGAACTGACTAAACCACAATTCATACATATGGCCAGGAACTAAACTGGTTTCTGCAGCTGTTCTACTCACCCATGGGAGCCCTTAGCTCCTGTTTCTGACAACTGCCTACCACAAACTCTGCTGAAAGAGAGAGAGAGAGAAAAATCCCTTCTCCAACTGGTATCCCATAAATTGTGGGTGAGGGTGTGAATGGCCCTCCAGAATGGTTGAATTGCAACCCCCACCAGCTCTAGCCAGCATAGCCAATGCTGAGGAATTACAGGAGCTGTGGTTGAAAAACTGAAGAGCTGCAGCTGACTAGCCTTTCAATGAGTATGAAGTGTTACCATCAGAAGGAACATTTTCTTTCCCTAATATTCCTTCCCAAAAATACATATGTGTGCGTCAGGGTGTGATTGCTCTCTATAACTGCAGGCAAATATGTATTCAGGATGGCTGTAAATCAGTAATTACAAAAGAACAACACTGCAGAATAAAAGATTATGCTGGCATGCCAGTACTCTCACAGCAGCATCACAAGTTAGATGCATTTTTTTACATTTGAAAAAAAAGAAAAATGAATCGGTGCACAAAATAATAAGTGAGTAGGAAAACAGCAACAAATACGAGTAGAGAAAGAAGAGTCTGCAAGTTAGCTGTATTTCTATATTATACTTCAGATCTAGAATAATTTGTGCTTACCTGTGGTCAAGATGGCTAAAGTCTTGTAAATTCAATTCATCAGGTTGTGTTGGTTCTCTGAATGTACATGTACATATTCATCAATACATGAGCAAAGGATTGTGTGCATAAACATAAACAAGTGAGTGATTCTATATCTTCTTTGAAATTCTATGTCTTTTGGACCAAAAGAGAGGTATTTAGGGAATTATTACACTGTGGAAATTATCTTGTAGTGTTAGGAGTATCCATATTTGTGGCGTAGAAGCAAGTGCTCCTGCAAAGAATAAGTCAGAGATATTAAATAACTTATGCAATTTCTACAAGCAGGACTCAATTGCTGGACCCAGAGTCCTGACAAAGTCCACTATGCCTGATTCATTTCTTGGTCCCTACGCATAGCACAGTTGTATATGAGAAGCTGCTGTTTTAAATTTCCCACAGTGCTTCAGAACCACTGAATGTAATGTGGCTCCAAGACATTCTTTTTCAAATTGTTCTGTGTTCTTTTGGCCTTTGTGATTAACAGTTTATCTCTTATAAAAGACTCCCTAGAAGAATTGCCTAAATGGCTAACCCTAGCACTATGTATGAAAGCAACAAAAGAACAAACAGTATCTGCTAATCTTTTTTGGGAGGGGGGGAATATATATTAAATTGGCATTCACATTAAATTCCCCCCCATTTAATTTAACTGGCTGCTTTGTCCGTTGTTTTTAAATGATTTTAGAAAGGAATGAACAACTGCAGACGTGGCTTGTTTGGGAGTGGTGTGCCATAATTAAAAGTAAAATTGTGGATACATAGGGAAATGTGTCATATCTTAAAGATTAAATACTAGTTTCAACCTGCAGACGACTGTATATGGAAGAAAATGGTGTCTTATCATTTTGTTTTAAAAGGAAGAGGCAGTGTAAATTAAAATATTCAGGGAAGAACATTCCTGAAATGATACCCTTTACTTCTGGACTAGAAATAGGATATTTGTACTCATTCATGGGATCCACAGCCCCACCTCCCCAAACTGGCCCATCCATTTATGGGTCACCATGCAACGTGCGTGGCAGCATCCTGATTGCCGGGCCAATCTCTGACAAAGCCCAGCTGTGCTTCTCCGTCTTTCTGCTCTTCTGATCACTCCAGCTAGGGTGCAGGAAGACAGGTCTCCCCACTCAGCTGCTCAGTGACTAGAAGAACAGGAAGGCAGAGAAGCAGTTGGGCTTTGTCAGGAGCAGGATGCCACCTTCACGTGCTGTGTAGCGACCCATAAGTGGATGGGTCAGTTTGGGGAGGCGGGACTGGGTATCCTGACCACCTGGGCGTAGGATATTCATGTTTGTTCACAAATACGAATATCCTGTCTCTCTTCTGGACATCAATAGATCTCAGATATGAGGCACTTATACCATTTTCAAGTGAGACTTGCATTTAGATAAGTTTTGGGGAAGTAAATCGCCAAGGAATCAAGATATGCATGTGAGGACACACATACAAAACACCACATGTTGTTATAGAGATATTTTCTTCAGTTTTCACGGTTTATCCAGACAGGATTAATTCCTATACTTTGAACTGACAAAATCAGATCCACTTCCACAGTGTTCTACCACCTTCAGTATTTAGTTGCAGTGGTATGCAGGGCACGATGCCAACATCAAACATTAGAGCTTTGCAATAGTAATACAATATTAAATGCAGTCACTTTGTGTGGTGTTTATACATGCTTTATAAATCCCTTGGTCCCCTTGCTCTTCCACAGGAGAATAAACTTATAAAGCAAGATACAAAGAAGTGGGCCTTTGAGATCAGATTTCTCAATTTCCTTCAAGTGCCACATAGCTGTCTTTGCAACTGAAGGGATGTCTTAAATAAGGCCTGAGTATCTGCTGTTCAGGGACGTGGTGGCGCTGAGGGACGTGGTGGCACTGAGGGACGTGGTGACGCTGTGGGCTAAACCGCAGAAGCCTGTGCTGCAGGGTCAGAAGACCAAGCAGTCGTAAGATCGAATCCACGCGACGAAGTGAGCACCTGTCACTTGTCCCAGCTCCCGCCAACCTAGTGGTTCGAAAGCATGCAAATGCAAGTAGATAAATAGGGACCACCTCGGTGGGAAGGTAACAGCATTCCGTGTCTAAGTCGCATTGGCCATGTGACCACGGACGATTGTCTTCGGACAAAACGCTGGCTCTATGGCTTGGAAACGGGGATGAGCACCACCCCCTAGAGTCGAACATGACAGGACAAAAATTGTCAAGGGGAACTTTTACCTTTACCTGCTGTTCAGAGACGTATATGCAATCACACATCTGTGGAAGATGTCTTCATGGAGAAGCTGGAAGTGAAGAGAGCTGAGAAGAAGAAGCTGGTGTGAGAGTCTGTGTGTCAGACAGGGTACTACTGTGTGTCAGTCAGTACCAACCTGATAGGTTCAGGTGTATGTATGGGTAGCCAGAACTGATAGGTTCAGGGTCTGTGCTTTATTTAAAGGTGTTCTGTGTGAACCAAACTGGTGTATGTATGATTGAGATAAGCCACGTTACTGTATCTTATTCCCGTGATCATTTTATTTTCCCTGTGTGTGATTTAAATAAACCTTATTCCTTTGTTTTGTTAAAAATCCATCCCTGGTCTGTGTGACTTCTTATAGGGAATGGTTGGTGGCAGCTTAGTGAAACTGTGGCATCCTCCAGTAGGTCTGGGTTTGTCACAAGCACCGCCCCCTAGAGTCGAACATGACACGACAAAAATTGTCGAGGGGAACTTTTACCTTTACTTGCTGTTCAGAGACGTATATGCAATCACACATCTGTGGAAGATGTCTTCATGTGTGCCTGGAGGAGTGCTGAGACACAACTAGTTCCACACATCCCAGTCATAATAGTCTAGTTTACGTGCTCGAATGAGGTTTTATAATGGCTTTGGATGATTATGCTCCACATTTCTTTTCATTTACAAACTCAGACTGTAGAGGGAAAGAAATCAGAGCACACAACTTGTTTGCAGTAGTCAAACTATGCCTTGGCTTTTATGCCTGAAGTCAGCTAAAGCAGCAGTCCCCAACCTTTTTGGGGCCACGGACCAGTTGGGGTGGCGGGCTCTATGCACGGGGAGGGCACCCCCGCACTTGTGCAGGGGATAGTGCGCTTGCGCACAAGCACAACATGCCCCCTGTGCAAGCACAATACTCCACCCTGCGAGCACGGCACCCCCTCCCAGCACAACACACCCACCAGGCAGGCAGGAGGACAGAGGTCCATCTCCACAGCCCAGTTCTGAGAAGCCCACAGACTGGCACTGGGCCACAAACCGGTGGTTGGGGACCCCTGAGCTAAAGTATATCCTGCTACCATTTGTACATGCTTAGTATTTTGTTTGAGACAATATTAGACATTTTCTAGTAGAAATGTGAGGGTGATGGGTCTGGGGAAAAAAGATTAACACTTGGGAGAAAAACAATGGTACTAAAATATATTTTAGAGTAAATGCTTTACAAAAATGTACTTGCATGATTCCAGAATTTTAAATGTATTTATTTGGTGTGTCTGCCAGACTGAATGGTGTGGGAATGCTTACACAATTTTGCTGTCACTATCATGCACTTAATAGTGTTCTACTGTTTTAATGGAGAAGCTGGAAAAGGGACAGCATATCAGATTGAAGAAGCTAAGATTAAAGGAAAGAAAATCACCCTAGGATTTTACAAGTAAAATCCCCTTTACAATTAGAAGCGAGATTGTGTGGAAAATTGTATTATCTTTTCATGTACTGCAGTATCCTCAGAGTATAAGGTAACTCTGTAAAAGAGAATGGAGGTATTGGCCAGATTCATTCAGTCACAGGATTATGTTAAGAGATCTGACTGCCTAAAACCCTTTTACTCAATTATGATTACTGTGGAGATTAAATGTGACACAACCTGATTAAAAAATAAATTGTAGTTCAGTAGCTGAAATTACTTCTTAAGCTTATTTTTAATGAGTATATGGTGACTGAACAGTGCTTGCATTTTTCCTTTTTAATAGTGAATTTACAAAGCTTTCTAAAATTGTCACTATGGGCTGAAATCCTGCTGCTTAGTGTAGTGAATTTGCACTAGAGTAGATCCTTTGAATCAATGGGGAATTTGTGAGTCAGTGCCTTCATACGTTCCCATGACTCAAATGGCCCTTTCCAAGTTGTTACTGTGATCATGTAAGTTGCAGCTAGAGTAGACCCATTTGATTCAGTGGATTTATAGAGATGCTGACTCACCATATCCCTGTTGATTCACTGTGTAATTTATTTATTGTCAAGGATAATTTCCAGGCCTGAGCAGAACAAGGTATATTAATGAGCAGCCATGATGAACAGGTGTGCAATAATGCTGAGTCATGATGACTCATGAGTGCTGACTCATACATGATGTAATGTCTAATGTGATTGGCCACAGGCAGACGTGCATAAGTATATATGTGTGAACCTGTACAGTAGATGTATCTTCCTGCTCTGTGATGAATGCTATCCTGTTATGCTGCCAGACTGAACCGCTGTATATATCCTTTAAATACTCGATTGGTGTTGGGAGAAGCTGCCTGCGTGTGTGATTTATTTGGACCACCTGGACTGGACAGGACTGGACATTACTCTGCTGATTCTACTGAATTTCCGCGATTTTGCGCTAACATTTATTTTATTTATTTGTTTGTTATACTTCTATGCTGCTCCATTTAGTATTGAGCAATACTCTGGGCAGTTTACATCTATAGTAACATAAACATAAAATAAATCACAGATAATATCTTAAGAAATAAACCACACATATACACAAATAGTAAGGATAATCATCTAATAAATCACCAATTTATTCGTGCTAAGGAATAGGATTTCAGCCCATATGTATTTCTGATACTTGGCTCAAAATAACAATGTATTAGCAAAAAGTTCTGTAAAAAAGCCATTCAGACACTTTAGAAAAACTTGTGTACTTGACTGTCAGTAAGAATGATCAAGAAGAGAAACTATTAATTTCAGTGAGAGATGATAGTAGATAGTTCAAAACTGGAAAAATGTTTCCACTTTTTAATTAATCTGCATATTGTGAAGTCCATTAATTTAGCTGTTTTTAGTTTGTCAAAATACTAATATATTTTATTAAGCAGATCCTCTCTTTCAAATCAGTTATACCCTGCAATATTTGTTCACTATTTGGTACTTTTTCCCCATAGGGACTTAATACCTATTGTGGCTGCCCTGGAATACAATCAGTGGTTTACAAAACTTTCTTCCAAGGACCTAAAGTTAGTAAGTATTAGGGCAATGGATGAACGATTCATGATTTTAAGAGCTTACACTTGTTGAATTCATGACCATTTTAATTGTGCTAAGTAAAAAAGATGTATCACTAGGACATTTTAGCGATATCTTTGCTGCAAAACTGAAAGCAGCAGGTTTTAATGTACAAAGTTCACTTGCAAAAACTGATGAACCGCCTCATATTTAGCTAAGTCATATAATTTCAGATTATGAAGTGGGGCATTCCTTTTTTTAGGTTCTGGAAGTTATGTAGCACTTTTGAGAGAAAGATCCTTTTTAAAAATGGACATTTGCAAAGTTAATGCTCTCTATGGAAGTGACTAATATGGAATTATTTCTGAGAAGTATTATTTAAAGGATTTTGTGATGAAAACTGATTCTGCCTGGGGAAAAACATTAAGTTCTGTGTTTGATTTAAATGCAGTGAGCACACTCAGCAGATGGGGAATCAAATTAAATTTTAGCAAATTAATAATATGAAAAAAAACTTTACAGTATTCTGTATAATTTATTCTTGCCATTTCTACAATAGTTGCAAGAATTATTCTCATATATGATTATGAAAGCATGTCTGATGCTGTTACGGCACAAAAGGGACAGTGGCTCACCGTGTTCGCTAACCTTACCTTTCTGTTCATCATTTCATGATCTTAAATGGCTTTTAAGTCTTTATTGTGAACTGTTCCTTTGTCACATGGGCTGTATAGATGCCAGCAAAGGTCTGTGTAGTGGTCATTCCAGAACAGCATTATGGTGATTTCCGAGTGATTCACTGCATGGATGTAGGCATGCTTGCTGTTGCATCCAAAATGTTCCACAGTCTATGCCAGGCTTGTCCATCCTGCGGCCCGAGGGCCGCACGTGGCCCAGGTCGGCTCATAATGTGGCCCAGTACAATTTATTATTTTTAAAGAAATTCCAAAGTTTCAAGTTACACTGCTGGCACTTGTGGCTGGAATGCGGCTGGGGCACATCACAACAGTGGGAGGGGGGAGAGGGAAGGAAGGAAGGAGTGGGAGGGGAGGGGAGAGGGGGGCTGTGTGACTGCATTGCACCATCCCCGTCAATAGGTGGACCCCCTCCTGGCCCCATAATGCTGCCGGAGTCGAAGCTGGCAGCCTCTGCTGTCTGAGATCGCAGCTGCCGGTAAGCGCGTTTGGAGTGGGGTTGCGGAGGACGGCTAGGGCTGCCCCCCCATGCGGCCCAAACCAAATGTATGTGTGGCCCAAACCAAATTTTCATCTTCTATTGTGGCCCAGGGAAGGTGAAAGGTTGGACACCTCTGGTCTATGCCATCTTGTAGGAGTCTGACTCTAATGCAAAGATACATGATAATTCAGTTGTAAAATATTACAGCTCCACCATAACAAAGTGTTTTGATAGCCATCCTTATATGAAGACAGGCTATTATTAACTTCATTTTAAGATTAGCTAGAACTCTCTTGGGGATTTACACTGCAATTACATGCATTGGAGTAGGTAATCCCCACTCATTGAATGAGTTACTGTTCACTTTCCTGTCATGAAACTTGGCATTCGGCTAGGAATATAAGCAGCAACTCACCCCCATGATTTGTACAATTACAGTTATGGTAACATAAATCTTCAATTGTATATTTTCTATGACATTTAATATTACACCATTGTTTGTCACAATAGTCCACTGACATTTGCGAGCAGATCCTGAGAGTGGTGAGCAGATCCAATAAATTGGAAGAATTAGTACTGGAGAATGCTGGTCTTAGAACGTAAGTCATTGTTTCTTTAAAAACAAGAGGATTTTAGCAAAGTCCAGTAGTATCAGAAGAGGCTGTAAACCTGCAATTGCAATTCTGAACTAGCTCTGTTCACCTCAGTAAGGCTTACTTCTGAATACAAATGTAGGGATGTGCTGTGAATTGCTGAAAAGGATTTGATCCAAACATAAGTCATACTTTGAATAGACACGTTGAAATCAGTGGGACTTAAAAGTACTTCAGTTTTGCTAAATCTGCATCCAAGACTGTGCATTTAACTCAATTTATATTTAAAATTTCAATCTTGGAAGTTTGTGTGTGTTAACATACACATGTAAATAAATATAATATAATATAATATAATATAATATAATATAATATAATATAATATAGAGAAGCTATTAAAAAGAAATATTAAGGGGAGAGAAAACAATTGAGACTAAGAAGTTATATTGCATTGCCATGTTGTGAAGACAGGCCTGACTTTGTGAATGTATTTTTGTTTTGCATCAGGTACTCTACCTCACAGTGGGTCACATACAGAACAAAAATACCATTAGCGCACGAGTGATTATATCACAGCATCTGTAAGCAGTCACTAAAAATAAAAGCTGGGCAGAAAATCCTGTTGCTCGTTTACACTTGCATAAGCGCAATTGCATAAATCGTGATGGCAGATTGCCACTTATTAACAAAGTGCTGGTTATGTTTCTGGACACAGAAGCACGATCAGCACTTCATTAATGAATGGCAATTCACCACTGAGGCTCACACAGTTTGCCTTATGTAAGCATAAATTGGCAGTAAGATTCTGGCCGTTATGACTCCCCAGTGCTTTCCTAGGAATCTGGCCATATGCCTTCCTCTTGCATACATGCCTCTCTACATGACTCGTGTAGCACCCACACAGGGAAGAATAACTTGAAGGACAAAACAGGGAACATCACAATTCATGTGCAAAGCCACCTGTAAAAAAGAAATTATATATGGATGAAGTGTGCCTATACCTTTCTCAATTCTGTTTGTACTTTTCAAGCAAGCACTTTGTATTAACTTCCTCAATATATTGTGATGCAGAAGATAAAAAAAATCCTCTTTTGTTTCTTCTATTTTTCCTTAAAGAGATTTTGCACAGAAACTGGCCAATGCTCTATCCCATAATCCCAACTCAGGACTTCATACAGTTAATCTTGCCAGCAACCCCTTAGAGGACAGAGGTACCTTAACATTTCTATTTTTTTTTCTTGTTACAAGTCTAAATGGATTAAAGTGATTTCACACAGCTTTTGTCTGTATAATTACAGCCTCATATAATTGTTTTGTAAATGTCTTTTGTTTATGGAGTTTTAGAACTCTTCCTTTTCTAGCACAGAATCATTTTCTCTTAGCTTAAACTATAAATAAATCCATGTTTAATGGATATGAGCACCATATATTTAATGAAGCATAATTTATTTCAGTTTTGTAGAAATGACTAGTCTTCAGATGAAAACAGATAGTTTGAAGTGGAGCAGAAGAAAATGGCCACAAATACTGTACTGTATTTTTAGAAATCTCTTAAATGATTGTAATATTAGCTCTAGATAAAGAACTTTTCCAATTTCTGTTATGTGAGATTTTGCATGATTGTGTTTATGCTTCGTAATATAAGCAGAAATATTGCTGTAGATATGAACAAAAGAGGAAGTGCTTCTTGTCATCTGTGTAATAATCATCCAGAGGAGCCATTCAGTTTACTAGTAATGAATTAGAAGCTTATCACTATTTGCCACTACACTGAATCGTGTTTAAATCCTTCGGATTAAGTTTAAGTCATAGGCAGTATCACTCAAATGACTGAGGAGGCCCAAAGTCTGTTCATCATCTGCTTTTCTCTTCCTTCCTTAAATTTAAATATTTAAAACTTCTTCTGCATGCATTTAAGAATTTTCATGCGTTTTTGTACATATTTCACAAGAAGGTATGCATTAGTATTTGTTTACGTACAGAAAAACATGAGTGTTAAATAGATGGGTTCTTCCTTCTGTGGGAATAGGCTCAAGGATGTACAATCAGTGGCTCCACTCCCTTCAAAGGAATGATGGTCTCTTAATGTGGAATACTTGCCATTCCAGTCAAATGTGCTTAGTCATGTCCTGAAGGCATGTCTATACTGCAGATCGACCAGGTTTACACCAATTTAGCATCTTATTATTTTTTTTTACAAAGCAGATTGAGATTTTTTAATCATTGTGCTGTGACTGCTTCATTGAAGATCATTGAAGACCTGTGTATAGTCTTACAGTTCCCAGAGTTACTACATAATGATTATTATAATTATTTAAGTTTTCGGTGTAGATAATGCAATGAATAAACAGTTTTGTAAAATATGTGACAAACCTGACTTGCAAGAGTTCAGACGGTGTCTATGTTTGAGCAGTTCTGGGATGGGATAAGAATGAAGTGGAGTGGGTGGGGAAAATGGCCTTATTAGTTTCTCCCCTAACAAATCAGCTTCAAAACTTGTGCCCCTTTGAAAACTAAAGTATCTTCTTTAGCACAAGCTTTTGTAGATGGGATGTAATCCATAAAACCCTGCCTCAAATTTTTGTCTTTGAATTGGCACAGGAAACATTAGATCACACTAACAGTTGATATGGAAATTAATAGCATTGACAGTATAAACACGTCCGTTTCTTTGTTTCGTGAGGATTTGTTGTTTTTGTTCTTTTTACAGGTATATCCTCTCTAAGTATTCAGTTTGCCAAATTGCCAAAGGGGCTGACACAATTGAACTTATCAAAAACCTCACTTTCACCTAAAGGTATGTTTCATTATTGTTATTCACTATGTCGAATGAATGTTTCCTTTCAATCTTTGTTGTCTAAGTGCAGTTTTACAAACATACTCAAGGTAATTAGCAGACAAGCAGACTGCATCTTGCATCACAACACTACCATTTAAAAAAAGCACACTGTGCTCTAGTCTGGCACAGATCTGTAGGAACACGCAGTTATCTTTAGGGTTTGTTTGTACCGTACAGTTGGAAAGGCAGAAACAAATATGGTTTGGGTTTGAATAGGTAAAATAAAGGTTCCCCTTGACATTTAGTCCAGTCGTGTCCAATTCTAGGGCGCAGTGCTCATCCCTGTCTCTAAGACGTAGAGTCAGCGTTAGTCCATAGACAGTTTCCGTGGTCACATGGCCAGTGAGACTAGACACGGAATGCCATTACCTTCCCACCGTGGTGGTACCTATTTATCTACTCACCTTTGCATTCTTTTGAACTGCTACGTTGGCAGGAGCTGGGACAAGCGACGGGAGCTCACTTCGTTGTGTGGATTCGATCTTACAACTGCAGGTCTTCTGACCTTGCAGCACAGAGGCTTCTGCGGTTTAGCCCACAGCTCTACCACGTCCTCTTTGGGCTTGAATACCAAAGTTTAAGTAGATGAAGGAGCTATAATTGCAAGGGAAAAAAACATACTCAAAGTTTCTGCACTTCCTTTTTAAAGGAAATATGGCAAACAAGATACAGGAAGTTTCTCTATAGTATCCCCTGTACAATAAGTGAGTTGGTATATTAAATCAATACCCCAGTATTTCTACTAAGACACAGCTGTAGTAGCTATTCTGCCTGGAAAAAAATCTGTTATTGAGAGCTTTTTCTGTCTCTTGGTGTATGAGATCTATTTTCTTCTACAGACCACTGATTTTCTCTTTCTTTCTGTTTCTCTGTGCCTCTACCAAGAATCTTCAGCTATCTTGTCTCTTAAAGCTTTATGACAGTCTTATCTTCTAGAGCATTCCTGTGGCTTGGAGGACAGATTTCATTGCTTTAGCCACGGTCGGAAAGCTTCATCAGAAGCCTAAAGGCAGAATTTTATTAAAATCAGAGATTAGAGACAGAAACTGGTGGTGCTTGCCACCTGGGAACTTATCCCGATAGAATATAAAAGTCAGCACCCTGTTTCAGTAGAGGCAGTGACAAATATCACTGAACAGTGCCCTTAGATTTGAAGAGGATTTGCTGCTCATGCTTTTTTTTATTGTTACTGAAATATTTCATATCAGAATTACCATTGAAATTGAATAGAAGGCTCAGTAGTTATGTTAGCATACATTACTGGTAAATCTTCAACTGCAGTGTTAATGAAGTCTCTTTCATGCTAAGCTTAAACCTTTACCAATAGTTTTGTGGTGGTAATGGATGAATCTTAAAATTTTAGAGACATAAATGATTTTTCAGACTATTTCTATTAGTTCTTGTATCTGTGCTCAGCTTTGGAGTAAAATTCTTTATTTTCCTCTTCCCTGCATTTCATAGGCAAATATCTAACTGCACAAAATGGTTAAACTGGTTTATTTATATGTTACCTTTCTACTAAAAATTGTACTCAAGGCAGCTAACAGTAAAGGACCATAACAATACAAAGCATGAGCAGGCGATACTTTTATTAAACCACTAAAAAAACCAAACAATCTGCTAGCTTTCACGGATCAAAGTTAACCTTGTGGGTTAACTTAATTTTCACCTCAATTCCTTGTTGGAGGACTCCGGGATTTTTTTGTATTGCCCTGTTCCCCAGCCAAATAGAAATGTGTCCTTCCAAAAGAAAGCCATGCAGGAGGATGTATGCATATTACCTGGACATTTTTGTTTGAGGAACTGGGGTGTGATATCCAATCAACATCTGCCTTAGCTGTAGTTTGAAAACCACGCCTCCAGTGCATACTGTGCCTTTTCTAACTCACCTCTAACAAACAAGCCGGGCATAACCCTCTGCCATGAACTTTTGGGACTCTAAATTGTCTGAACTGTTGTCACAAAGACACCAGTTTGATCTTTCTGTGCAGTTGGATATTTGCCTGTGAAATGCAAGGAAGTGGAAAATAAAGAATTTTACTCCAGGTCTGAGCACAGATCCAAGAACCAATAGAAATATTTGGAAAAGGAGCTTACCATAAATTATATGGTAACTTCTTTTTGTGATTTTGCATAAGAATTTATAGTCCAAAACCCACAAATGGAATGTCCCTAGTAATAATAGTGTTATCTTAAATACTATTTTTAGTACTTTGATGATGTGCAGAAAAGACAATCATAACATTTTTTGTAGATACTCACTGAAAACCTGTTGCTTGGTGTAAATCAAATCATCACCTTTGGTTTGCCCCTTCCCAGTAAATAACCCATCCTTGCTGTGATAGTCACAGTGCGCACATGCACATGCCAGCTTGGTGCATGTACCTCCCCCCAAGAATCACTGTTGGGACACTTTGATTATCACAGAAGAATGGATGAATATTACAATTCAGCTCATGCTAAGCAACAGGACCTTCGGCCACTGTGTATTTAAAGGGCACATACCAATACTTTACTGAGTGTAATTAAAATAAGTGTTGACCATTTTGTTACAGGGGTGAACAGCCTTTCACAGTCACTGAGTGCCAACCAGCTGTTAGCTACCACACTTACCCACCTTGATCTCTCAGGGAATGTTCTTCGGGGTGATGATCTTTCAGTAGGTGCTCATTTTTCTTTTTTCTACACCATACCAAAAATGATGAGTAAATTGAAGACAAAACCAAAACACTTATTTTTGCTATAGCACCCCAACTGTGGAATGCCCTCCCCGTGGTGACTCTACTGGCACCAGCAGTGGGGGTTGAGGATTGTCGTCTGCATAGGATTTAATGCAATGGTTTGAATGTTTCAATGTCGTGCTGTTTGGTTTTAAATTGTCTTAAATATCTTCTGTTTTAAAATTGGCTTGTGCAGCTTTGTAACCCACCCCGAGGTATATAGGATGAGATATAAATGTTTAAGCAAATGAATAAGCAAGTAAATAAAATATTATGATCAATGAAGCTATTTGTACCGGCTTATACAAACATCATTTCCAAGCCACTTTTTTTTTTGGCAACTTGTACGTGTAATTTGTCTAAAAGCTGCATATTCTCATCACCTAGCCTGCAATGAGATGCACAATTGGTGTTACACTTTCAGTGAGAGCAGAAGGGCGATTCCCTGAGTGTGTTCTTCATCGTCCACAGTCTTCTCTTGCTCTCCACAGTTTGTGAAGAAAACAGATTATCTAGTGCTCTCGCTCATCTTGCAGAGAATGTTGCGAATAAAATGAGACCGGAAGGGCCTGCAACCAAACCTGAGATTCTTCAAAGTCCCTGGTTAGGAAGAGGAACACACTTGTTCCTGTAATATATGGCATGCCTAGTGTGGGAAGGGGAAGGAGAGCTTTCCATTCTCCTGTGTGTGTTGTCTTAAATCTGACCTGTTTTATGAATCAAATAATCATTATTTAACTATTTAAAGATGGTAAAAACTACAACATGTATGTTGCTGTTTGATTTTATAATATAAATATAAATCCATAACAGTTTTTATTTGGCACTTAAGAGGTGTTCTGTATTGACATCCTGCATGTTTCCAGTATGGATAAAATATTACAGTTAATCAAAAAAGCACTTGCCTTCATGTTCCAACAGTTGAGATGGATACTTTAAAAGTACTAATACCTAATTCTTTTTCCTCTCTCTTACAGTTCCTGTATAATTTTTTGGCTCAGCCAAATGCCCTTGTTCATCTGGATGTATCCAATACAGAGTGTGCATTAGACATGGTAGTCTTTATGTGTTTACTAGAGAGAACTCCGTATTTTTTTTTCCGTTCCAGATTGATTTGTGTACACTCACTATCTGCTTCTTTATGGCTTAGATGTGTGGAGCTCTTCTTCACGGCTGCCTTCAGCATCTTGCCATTCTTAATGTATCCAGGACAGTTTTTTCTCACAGGTCAGCATCTAAAGACTGTTTTTTCAATTTAACTTTCCTGCAGCATCACTAATCTCCTTCTGCCCTAAAAGATCTTAAAATAGTTTCTTTGCATTTTACTTTTTTTTTTTTTTACATTTCTTTATGTGAAAATTTACTGTATCTTTGTGATCACACGAATTACTCCAGTGGTTCCTCATGCTTGTGTTCACCATTTGCACCTACATAATTGTGTATATTTTGAGCGTAGTGCAAGAACACATATTTTCTGCATTTCTCTGAAAATGTTGACTACGCTTGCTGCTTCTGCAGATTATATTCTCATTTAATATCCAAAATCGGGTACATGCCAGGGAATGCAACCCACACTTTATGAATAGGTGGTCATTTATGACCAAGAATTACTGATGTATAGGAAGGCTGGTTGAAGAATTACTGGATGCAGATATTAAAACAACACAGCTGGATTTCACAGTTGTTTTGTTTTTAAATAAGGCCTGTGGTCACTATTTTAGAACCTGCTTTTCTATCTATATTGTTTAACTCTGTATGCTACCAGTTAAACGGAGGTGAATCCAACAGGGTTTTTTTTCCAGTTGATGCTCATTGATCTGAATGTTTGAAGATGATGAATGCATGCTATCATTATTATTCTGAGAAACTTTAGTAATTCTGTTTTTTAATTACAAATTGACTTAAGTATGAATAGTGACTTAAGTATGAATACCATGGGCCTTATAACAGCTAGATTCTAGAAGTATAGATAAATGATTTTTAATGAAATTGGATTGTTACTAGTTCTGTTTGTCTTTCTAGAAAGGGAAAAGAGGTCCCCCCATCATTCAAACAGTTTTTCAGCAGTTCACTTGCTTTGATGCAGATAAACCTTTCAGGAACTAAACTCCCTCCTGAGCCTCTAAAGTAAGTCCTTTTAAATTTGAAAAGAGGTTTTCAAAGAGTTTGATGATGTTGTTCTGTGCAAAATCTACTCTGAAAGTAACTGAACTTCACGTCTTGTAAAACTGATTTGCACATTTGTTCTCTTGATCCTGGATATTTAGCCCTCATGTCGCTGCATTTACAGCATAGTGGGATTTACATCCTGCAATTAGATTTGAATCAGATGTTAAAATATTACTGCTTCTATACAGATTCTGATTAAAACTGAGTATTAAGGTATGTTTTGCTATATAATTATAGGCTTTTGGCCAGATTAAAAAAAAATTTGATAAAAGGCTCTGTTGATGTCTTGTAGGGTTGTAACATTTTTGTTTCTTTTTCATAAGCTGTAAAGCAAAATACTTACAGTAGGATCCCTGTATCCACAGAGGAATCGGTTCCAAGCCTCCCCCCCCCAATGCTGGAAAACTCAAACAAACACTATTTTAATAGTGAACATTGTATGTAGCATGGTCTATGGCTCCCTCTAGTGGCCAGTTCTGGGAACTTAATCTTTAGAAACAACTATTTCTGGGACTTTTCTTTTAATATTTTAAGACCATAGATACATGAATCAGCAAATACTGATCCCACAGATATGGGGGTTCTACTGTACTTCATGTTACTGGCTTAGATTTGGTATTTGAATATTAGGATAATAATTATTTCACTTTAGCTGTATGTTTAACTGTTAGAAAATATTGGCTCAGTGGGTAATTTGGGTTATCTCAGTCTTGTGCTCAACCCCAACTGCATAGTCTTCATTGACCACCATTTTTTCGTGATTTCTGAATTAGCAAAATGTGGCTACTGCTTTGTTTCCATTTGTATGCCACAAAGTACACTGAAACTTGTGTGGGATGGGGTGGGAGTGAGACTTAAGAACCTGTCTCTCCCAGTCTGCAGTCATAATTGAAATAATATAGCCATTTAATTTCTAAGTATCAAATAATAATTTTTTAGGAATCAAGGCTGTAAATGCCTTTGAAGAATAGCAACATGATGGGAATGACTTTTCTGACTTCTGATACAGAAACTTTTATTCTGGAGTCCTTTGATGAATCTAATTTATTTTTCAGAGCACTCTTGTTGGGTCTCGCTTGTAACCAAAATTTGAAGGAAGTCTTTTTAGATCTGAGTAGCTGTGAGGTATGAGATATTTACAAGTACATTTTATAATACAGTTATATTATTGTTCTTTTTTAAACCTGTCAGCCAAAATCTTGTTGGGAAAAACTGACTGTACAGTGATAATTGTGTTAGTAATCTTGCTGCTTGGACAGCCTGTTTTTAATATGACTGATTTCACAACTAGTGTGCAATTGGTTGCATAATGGATGTCCCACCAAAAGAGAAAGCCACTTGCATAGATATCATTTTTTCAACTGCTTTAATGATAATAGTATATTCCATAATGCAGCCTTAAATGAATTGATTTATTTTTAAATAATACAGTAGTTGCATATGTACAAATGGGAAATCAGCACTTTTATCTGTTTGTTTGTACTTAGTGCATGCATTTTTTCCCTAAACAGCAGTAACAGACAGCATTCTATTTTAAATAGGGTGGGTTCAGACACTGAGCACTGAATAGGATCTTGGCAAGAGTTTTTTATTCTAGCTGGGAACCTACGGTTTAGTTGATTATCACTGATAATGTTTCACTTTTTCCCTCCTGCTTGCATTAGCTTGGTCACTGTGTAAGTACACATCACACCTTCCTTCCAGCCTCTTAACTATTTACTTTAAAATGACTCACTTCCTGCCTTTTCACTGCCATTCCTTCTGCCGTGCATCAATTTATTTTTAAAAAATTGCTGCCGATTCTTGGGCACGGGATAGGTTTGGTTGTCTGCTAAAAGAATGGATTATATTTTCAAATAGTTACTGGGAAAACCAGTTTGATGCTGCTTTGGAACTTGTCCTTATATAGGGTTCATCTCAGCAGACATGGTTGATGCATGTACAGTGGTATAAACCTGTAAATAATGTATTCATGCAACACTTCTTTTCTAGTATAGGTAACAACTGACTCATATGAATTGGGGCTTCCACCTCCATTTATTACATATCATCAAGAGAATCCATCACAGTACTTTGTGTTTTGTTTTCATCACTAGTGTGAATGAGAGTTTGTTTCATGAAAAGGAAAAGTAATCTTAACCTTAGCATAGTTGTTAAGCAGTGTTGATAAAAGTGTTAATTAAATCTTGATAAGACATTTCTAAGAGTTGACACTGGATTCTTAATCAGTGTGAGTATAATTGAAGAAGTCATAATGTCCACTCCCTAACTTTCTGTTGATGCTTACATAACTATTTGATAAACAACTATGATCATGAGGAAGCAGTTGAATCAATACAGGTATTGTGTTGCAGCAGAAAAGAGACTATCTGGTATAGGAATGACACAAGTGTTATTAATTCTCTGTAAGAAGTGAAACAAGGAACATGGAGTTCATATATGATTTATAATCAGAAAAAATATGATTATTTGCATATTTTTGCAGTCAACATGCAAGTCATACTTCTATTTTTAGATTTTACAGTGCTATTTAGCATTATGTTTCAGTGACTTAGGGTTTTTTTAAATGAAATTATTTGAGTTATTCATTAATTCCCACACATTGCATGAATAGCTATTGTAATTCATATAAAAATGATTGTAATGTGTTCTGTTTGTAAAAATATTTTGTTAGCAGTGAGCTTTTAACTGACATTTGGATAAAGTGTCCTGCTTCTCTTGTCTGATGACAGACTTCCCTGCTGAGAGAAAGTTATTATATCAAGGAGAGAAGTTCTAACATTATATAATCCTTGATATGTCATCTTTTCTGTATGCAGTGAACTTTTCACCTGGGAGCTAATTAAAGTATGCAGACACTCCATATGCATTGTACAATGCCAAAAAAGTGGTGCTCTATTATTTTTCTAACAAGCAAGTAAACCCTGCTACTAATGTTTTTGTAACAGTATCAGCATTTGGATTTATGATCCATTCCAGATAATCATGCACATAATAAAATGCAGATAGTTGGATCCTTTATTTTGAAGGGCTCACATATGTGCACATACTCCAGTCAGTGATAACATACTGTTGGGGTAATTACACCAGCATGAACTACAATTTCAACACAGAAAGTAATTTAAACTTGTTCAATGCTTCTTTCCCACCCCTTTCAGGTTCTTAGGCTCACTCGAGTTCCCTTTTTCCTTGGGAAAGCCTTTGAGAGCCTTGGGATTGGGTGGGTGGCTTTAACAGTCAAGGATTGCCAGTGGCGAGTTACTAAGAACTCTCGTGCCATCTTAAGGCTTCCAAAGACTTCTCAGGGGCAAAAGGGAACCCTAGTAAACCTCAGAACCCAGATCCACTTTATGCTGGCTTAACTACACCAGCAAGATTTTCCCACTGTGTGTTTCTTTGTCATGATGGATATCAAAGGACAATACTTTCCAGTTCCAATCCTTTATCTTGTGCCATACCAACCTTGTGCCACAGAGATCATCTGAAGGTTTATGTAGTCTTGCTTATTGTATTCTCCTTGTTTCTTGCCTGTGGATTTTGCAGACAAACAACTCATGCTTAAGCTTCAAGAACTTTAAAACATTTGTGGTTAATCCATGAGTATCAGATGCTACAATGCTTTTGTTCAAGAAAAAATTAGGACATCTACAGGAGCCATTTTGAACTTTCTAGAGGAACATGATTGTCATGCTATTAATAGTCTTTAGTAACATTCTTTTAATAGCAGTCTGTACTCTAATTACAATGATAGTATTCCATGGTACATTGTAAAAGGTGCTGTTCCTATCTGATAGGAAAGGAACCAAACAGCATCTTAACAGTTGCGTTGGGAAAAATGAAACATTCCATCATTATGTGCACTTTATTTCCATTATTTGTGAGATCTCTTGTACTAGTCCAACATTTTTAACACTTCTCATTTCAGAAAATATCTAAATGGCTTCTTTTTTCTTCTAGTTAAGATCAGGAGGTGCACAAGTTTTAGAAGGATGCATAGCAGAAATACATAATATTGCCAGCCTTGATATTTCAGACAATGGTAAGAAATTATCAGCAGAGAGAACTAATTGAGAAATGGGAGACATTTGCAGTGTGATGCTACATAACTTTTATTTGAGAATCGGTTGCATATTGATGGGACTTCCCAATATGCTTTTGCTGTAAAATAGCACTCGTATTAAGAACATAATGTAAGTAAATTCTGGATCAATGTGATTTCTTGCCAGTTAGTTTCTTCCCATCTACATGCAGAATGGAGCACTGGTTCATTGACATGTCAGTGTCAAACTTCATTGGTCACCTTCCTTAAATTGCAGATGGAAGTGGCTGGGAGAATTGTAGCTTATAAATGCAAAAATATATTAGCATTCAAAGTTGTTAGCTGGGATTCTATTGAAAACAAGCGGAGTGTGAAGCCATGCTTTTATAATAATGTGGAATTGCAGTGCTTGAGCAAGCATTGCTATAACACAAGGAATGACTGCTTTTAGGAATACTAATTTCAATTTAGCAGAGGGATCCTGGATGCCACCTTCACAAGTGGCACAAATGTCAAACCAAGCATGCTACAATCTGTTGTGCAAGTGGCTTGGCTCAGTAAAGATCCTTGCCATTAAAATTAAATAAACAGTATATCATGTAATAAATCTAACAAAGGGGGAAAGAAAGGGATAAGTACTTAAACATAAGCCTATGGCCATCTCAGGTGCTATACTGGGTGCCTAACCACATGTTGTAACAACAGCCCAATAGTTGCTTTTCTTAGAGAAAAGCTGTCTTCAGAAAGAGCACCATTTATTTATTTATTTATTTATTTGTTTGTTTTATTTTTTAGCCGCACCATTGCCATTTGGAGGTTGCTTATTCATAGGGTAGCTGGCTGGACAGCTTAGTGGTTTAGGTAGCATCTAGTCTTGTTAGGACTACTCTAGGCAGCTAACAACATAACAATAATACAATTATATATATATAAAACGATTTCCCATAACAGAAAATACAAACAGACTTAGGAGAAACCCAAAGATATGCTTAACTGTTTCCTTTCTCATTGTTTTTCTTTTCTGAATTGCCTTTTCTCATATCTCCCTTTCATTGGGAAATTATATACTGTAGTTTCACTTGGGGTTTAAAGGAGCAATGTTATTGGATATATGCTGTTGATAGTTAATTAAGATATTGTAATTAAATAGATAAGAGCATGGTTTCTAAGAATGTTGCGAGAAAAAAGGTAACACATCACCAACAAGTAGACAAAAGAGGGTTCCGTTCTAAGTAAATCTGTATATGTTAATTTTTTATACACACACACACACACACACACACACACACAAATTTAGGAATAATTCCATTGGATTCATAATTAAAGAAGGTATATACCTGACAATAGTGGGAAAGACTGTGGACCCACTTGGTCCAGGTGCTAATGTGGATGGGCCCCTTTAGAGCCCGTGCTCACTCTTCTTTGAGTTCCTGATCTTTAAGATAGATTTGAACTGAAGAGCCTTTCAAATAGAGGATTATCCTTCTCTAAAGGCCACTTTAAATTGGTGTGATAGTGTAAAACAGCCTTCCCCAACTTGGTGCACTCAAGCTGGACTGGAAGTTCCATTATCCTTGATAATCGACTGTACTGTCTGATGACAGATGGGAGTTGCAATCAAAAACATATAGAAGGTACAAAGTAGTGGAATGCTGGCATAAAATCTAGTTTGGGAGATTCAAAAGAAATTGTGATGGTTTTATTTGTTTGGGTGTCGTTTCCCCCCCCCCCCCCCCGTTTAATTCTGTTTATAATCTGATTTCTTCCAGGCCTAGACTCCGACCTTTCAACTCTTATAGTCTGGCTTAGTAAAAATCGATCAATAAGACATTTGGCTTTAGGAAAAAATTTTAACAACATGAAATCCAAGTAAGACTATTATTTATTCATTTTTTTGAGAAAAAAATCAAAATATGAGTCACTGTTTTCATTTTTGTCTCTTGCTTTTGTTGCCCCCTTCAGAAATCTGGCTCCTGTACTTGATAATTTAGTTCAGATGATTCAAGATGAAGATTCAGTGAGTAGGATTATTTTCACTTCTTTAATGTCATTTTAAGCGTTGCTGTCTCTGACCATTTATTATGATGTGTTGACTAGTTTGTAAAAATACTGCTCTGTTGTGTTCTTTGATCAGTTCAAGCTCATGTAACAAAAGACCAGTGTGTTGGTGTAACATTTTAACCTTTTAAGATTCAAAGTTTATGGGCAGGGTCTATATAATTTATATATGCCAAGATCTCTTTTCCTTTCTTTTTAATTACAGTTTTCCTTACTTGCCAGACCTACGCCTCAGTGCTCAATGTGTACAGGCAGCTTGAGATATGACTGTTTTTAAAGAGGATCTTTCTGTTTGTGTTTTCATCCATGCCGAGAGGTGGTAGCAGGCATATACGTCAAGACACATTCAAACAAAATCTTCAGAACTTGAAGTTTTGTGTCGATGTGTCATTTTGAGTTCATGTAGATGTAATCAGTGAGGTAATATTAGCAGTGTAACCTGTTGGAAACAGAACTATTTAAGAAGTATTTTGCATTCATAAATATCAATTGAAACTGTTCTCAATTCTTTAGGGCTGAAATCAAATACCAGATTGATTATATCTGGATAACCTTTGTAGTTATAATCTAAACAAAGCATAATGTCTTTTTTTAGTGTCTTAATTTCATGAGCTGTAATCTACCTGGTACTGTCCACATCTGCCACACAGATGGTTGCCATTTTTGTGTACGAAGTACTGTATCAGTCATGTTCTGGAGGGAAAGCGGAGCTTATTTTTCTCTGCTTTCTCTCCCTGCTCTCCACCACAACAGGCACAAAGCTTGAGGTAACATTAGCTATTAATCTGCATTAAAGTATTGGCTCTGGCTAAAGTTGAGGGTCACCAAAGGCCTCACCCTGTCCCTTCCCCAGCAGCTGAAATGCAGAAAAATGTCTGCTGTTTGAGGGAGTGGAGGCAACAAAAAGTGAAGAAAGAAGTTGACCTCCGTGGCAGTTTATGGACAGAATAAGGAAGTTTCCCTTGCTGTTTAAGGGACACATTTTAATATTTGGTGCAAGCTATTTTAATATTTTATCATTACTACATACCACCCCTAGCTAAGTACACATGTCAGATACACTTTCGAATAATAGGAGTTAAACAAGTTTTCCTTTGCTCTCTACATACTATCTCTGTTGGTCCGCCTTTCCCCTACCCAGCTGGATTTAAGCAGAAGAGATATTATGGAAATGACTGTCAAATTGTATTTAAGGCAGAAGTGAGCAATCTCAGCTGGGTCAAGGACCATATTTCAGATTTGCTAGCAGCCTGCAGGTTGAACTTTCAAAGGAGCAGGGTTAAAGGAAGCCAGTTATTCAATTTTATTATTCTTATAGCAATTTCAATTTTGAGTTTCACACTTTACAGTATTACTGACTTGGTATTATTAGACTTAGGTATCAGTGCGGTGTAGTGGATGGAGTGATGCACCTGAACTCCAGCAGCCTCAGTTCAAGTTCAAATCGCCACCCAGCCATGGAAACTCGGGGGAGAAGAACTGATAAAACCACTCCTTAAATATCTGGCTTACCTTGAAAGTCCTGCTATTAGCTGGCTCTAAGAACAACACCACTAGAGTCACCACAATTTGGAATCAACATAATGGCTTATTCTTATTCTTATTCTTATCGTCGTCATCATTAGTATGCATCATGAGAAGGGAAGATCCACTAGAAAAAACAAAAATAGGAAAAGGTGAGAGCAGCAGGAAATGAGGAAGGCCAAAATGAGACGGATTAGCTCCTTAAACGAAGCCCTAGAAGAGTTGAGCAGGGCTGTTGAGGACAGGACATTTTTGAGATCTCTCATTCATAGGGTTGCCATAAGTCGGCACATAACAACAGCAACAACATTATTAAGCAGTCACAAAATTTAGCCTTTTTTATGGCTGCACTTTATGAACAGAAAACACTATGTGCAAAGGAAACAAATTTCTTCAATGTCCCTGTGTGCATGACAAACTGTTTTTTTCTAGCCTATTATTCTAGTCCAGGAATTTGTAGATTACTTTCATGGTTCAAAGGATTTGGAAAATAATGCCTAATTATATGGGTAATAGGTTCAGTTATATCCCCTTTGTAAGCAGAGACTTAATTTGAAACTGATAACAAAAAGGAGCACTATAACATCCTTGGGTCATAATCAAAAAATTCTTAGATTTCTCTTCAAAAAGTTATTGATCTACAGCTTCTATGGCTTGATTTTCTGTGGTCTTCCAATTCTCAGAGCAAGAATTGCTCTGCAGATTCTCATTATAAGAACTTTATCGTATCGGACGATATACCACAGATTAATCTTAATGAAAGACTAAGTGCTATCCCCTTTGCTTGGAAACTAAGATCTTTTCAGTGAACAATTAGTAAACAGGAAATTTCAAGACTCCTTAGCAATTCTAAACAGTTAACTGAAGAGCTAGTGAGATGGAATACCTGGTCCATTGTTTCATTTACTCTTCTGCTATTTATGACATCTGTGTTAATTATGCCCGTAATCATTTAGCATTGTTGAGGCCCAGTCCCTTTTCTTAGTCCCTCTACTAGTTGAGACAGTTTCATTGGGCCTCTACCAATCCCTTCTCTTAGGGCTGCAAGTTAATGTGTCCAGAGACTTTCATGACAAGGCAGGTTCCTGTATTATGAGGGCTTGCGTGAGTAACTGCTATCACTTCCATTGGGCAGACTGCCACCATGACCAGTGTAAACAGTCAGTTGACATAGGAAGACTTGATCAAGCAGTGAACCAGAAGCACTATTCATCTATTGTTATCTAAACATGTGGAGCTCACGGGCATTGAAGGGAATGTGCTAGCTTCACACTCTGTCATCATTTTACACACGTGAAAATGACCATATGAAAAGAAGAAGGTTTCGTTGTCTTGGTTTCCTTGCCACATGACTAGAACCCTGATATTTTAGGTTCTGCCTCAGTGGAGAGGCTTCTCGGATACAGGAACCTCTCCATTTTCAGAATGCTGCTTTCCCATGTTGATAGTAACAATAATGGGTGGGACTAACACATTGCTCTGTACACCTGTGGGCAACTCCACATGCTTAGATAATAACAAGGCTAGAATCTTTTGCGAATAGATGGAGTAAATCATAAACATAGGTAGCCTACCTTTAGTATTAGCAGCCTGTATGGCAGGTATTTTAGAAGCCAGGCATGAGATGTTTATAGAATAAGGATAAGCACCATAGTATACAGGTAAGATTGAGGAGACTGATGTTTTTCCTAACATAACCTTCACATTGTGAACCCCTGCATTCTGTATTGTTTAATTTATATTTCATTTTTAAACTGTTGTACTCTGCCCTGTGCATTATAAACAAGTTCTGCTGAGCTGTTCATTAATTTAGAAAGGTGAACTGTATTGCTGCAGCTTCATGCTAAAATCTGTTAAAGCATGAAGCACTTCAATTAAATGTTTGCTGCCATTCCCAAAAAGCATGCTAATCAGAAATGAAAACTTCATAAATTATGTATTGAATTAAGTAAGGATGCACTTAAAGATTAGGAGAATTAGTGTGGTAATTTAATGGCTCTCATTTAAACTACTGTAAAATAGTTGTATTTTTTTTTGTCAAGGATAGGCTTTTCAATTACACAGTTTCAGTGCACTGCCTTCCTAGTTTCTATAATGGCCAGCTCTAGCTTAACTTCACCTTGTAGGTTTTTAATATTTTGCACAAAAATGGTGCAGAAAGAATAATCTGTTTGAAGCCATCTCTCAGGAAACCTTGTCACAATTTTGTGTTGTTTTGATTTAACATAAGCTTACATATTCAAAGCCTCGTGGGAATTAGAGTTTAACAACATCTGGAGGGTCCATTGATTAATCAGCTCTGATCTAGAGGAACCTGAATGAGCAGCATTGAGCATTGCACACTCCTCTTCCCCTCTCCTCTATCACATGTAGCAGGAAGAAAGTGCAAACTGCTGCTTTCATGTTTTTATTAAGCCACTTTCCCACTACCTATGAACTTAGGGAAGTGTGACGTGTTGTAACAGATTGTGAAGTCATAGTGAGATGCTGGGCATATAATGCTGGGCATATAATGATATACTTAGGACGTATAGAAAAATTACTCCAGAATGTTCTGTTTTAAACATTTTATTAGTTTTTCAGTCTATCTACATTATTTTGTGCTTGTCAGACATTGTGTTACATATTTTGTTTACAATTATTTGTTTTTTACATCTCAGTATCTTCCTGGTTATCCCCCCCCCCAATTCCAAACATCTTTCAAGCATTCAAACCATTCATAAACAGATTTTAGTACACTATATGACCACTATCATAATATTACTCTCATATTATATAAAATTCTTCTAATAATTCTTCTATTAACAGTCTTCTAATAACATTCTTATTAAAGGTGTTTCCAGATCCATAACCCAGCTTTATATCTAATTTAGTTTACCTAAAATAAAAAATCATCTTTACCCTGATTAGGCCTCCTTTATTTCAATTTAGTTCTCCTTTTTAATATACAGAATATACCCTTTTACAAATCCAGATGATAAATATAAACATGTTTTCAATATTAAGGGGCCCTTC